TCTGAGACATGTGATACTGCAAACTAATGACCCCATTCACGTCCCCACTGCAGTCAGTCAGCTGCTCCGACCATGGACAGGTCCAGTGCGTGGACATGTTAGGAGTAGTATAATTTCATTGAAAATAAGAATTCTTTGTGTTCTTTGTTTCCATTAGAATCGAGCTGTTTTTATCTATAGAGGGAGCAGGTCTTCTTCTATGGTAGCCATCATGTTGAACAGCCATGTTTCTACAGTAGCCCAGTATGGACAAACCAAACACTGGCTCTAGATATGGTCTTTTAGCTTTTTTTTTTTTTTTAGAGTTTTACAGCCACCGTAGTTTCTCCTACATGCTTGTAAATGCGAACTGTAGTCAGTTAGTTCCAATCTGCAATTTCACCACCACTCAGACGCCACTACGTCCTTCACACTGGTCCTTTAATGTTTACTATAGCAGTTAGTTTTCACACATATTTTGACTCGTCATAGTAGAAAATATAGAGACGTTACTAATGACGATTTAAGTGTCCATTGAGCCAGCATGAACAGCACTAAAGTCATGTGTTTAAACTGTGTCAGTGAACAAAGGCTTGTTATATTGTGATTAGTTATCTAACTGCATATTGAAAGTGAAATATAAAAAACTGATCCATTTTCTGTTCTGCTTGTCCTGGTGGGGGGCACATTGTTAGTACTATTGTTTCTCAAAATATTCTCAAAATCGTCGGCAGGTTAGATCCGGAGGATGCTGCTACGTGACTTTAATCCCCTTCCTCAGAGCCTGAACCCTTTGTTACGTCCTGAGGAGGTCGATCAAGATTAATAGGATTTTAGGAGTTTCAGGAGTAGGATCAACCCTCAATTGTGCAAGTTCAAACTTCTCACACAATCTTTTTGTTTTCGTTAATAAATCATGTGAAAGCATCCTGGTGATTGATGACTTGACTGATGAATCAGGCTTTTGGTACTTCCTACAGAAGCTTGGGTTGGTTTAAGGTATCTGGTATACTGTAGAACTGTTTAATATGATCACATATAACCACAAAACAACAGTTCACACACTCAACTGATTCTGAAAAAGCATTGTTGTTAAGGTGGTTAACAACGACAGCGG